GAGCGAGGTTAGCCAACATGAACACACACACACACGCACACAAACACGCACACACACACACTTACTCGACCCCTAAACCTGGCCATCACACACACACACACACACACACACATCTTCCTAATGAAATCCCTGAACCCCACTAATTATTTGAGAAACACTTTACAATAAGGTTCATTAGTTAACATCAGTATTAACTAACATGATATAATAATGAGTGAAACATTTGTTAAAATATTTTTCAATTTTTGTAAATATTAGAGTTTAATTTTATTTTAAAGCCATTATTTAAGTAGTGAGTAATATTAATAAACTACATGTACTATTATAGGGTTAGGGTTTGGTTGAGGGTTAGTTGCATGTGATTATGCATAGTTTACTGTTATTAATATGATAAGTACATGTAACATATGTAACAAGGACACTGTACACTGTAGTGTTACAGCAAAATTAGATATTATAAATCCAGCTGTTCATTGTGTGTTCATGTTAGTTCACAGTGCATTAACTAATGTTAACGAATATGATTTTAATAATGTTCAAGAACTATTGTTCATTATTAGTTCATGTTGTTAACTCATGTTTACTAATTAACCTTACTGTAAGGTCTTACAGTTGTTTGTATGGAACATAACAGTGATACCCGATGGCGGAGCAGTGCATGCTGGGAAAAGATGCAGTGCATGCTAAAGAGATGCAGTGCATGCTGGGAAGAGACGCAGTGCATGCTGGGAAGAGACGTGGTGCATGCTGTAGAGATGCAGTGCATGCTGGGAAGAGACGTGGTGCATGCTGTAGAGATGCAGTGCATGCTGGGAAGAGATGCAGTGTATGCTGGGAAGAGACGCAGTGCATGCTGGGAAGAGACGTGGTGCATGCTGTAGAGATGCAGTGCATGCTGGGAAGAGATGTGGTGCATGCTGTAGAGATGCAGTGCATGCTGGGAAGAGATGTGGTGCATGCTGTAGAGATGCAGTGCATGCTGGGAAGAGACGCAGTGCATGCTGGGAAGAGACGTGGTGCATGCTGTAGAGATGCAGTGCATGCTGGGAAGAGATGTGGTGCATGCTGTAGAGATGCAGTGCATGCTGGGAAGAGACGCAGTGCATGCTGGGAAGAGACGTGGTGCATGCTGTAGAGATGCAGTGCATGCTGGGAAGAGATGTGGTGCATGCTGTAGAGATGCAGTGCATGCTGGGAAGAGACGCAGTGCATGCTGGGAAGAGACGTGGTGCATGCTGGGAAGAGACGCAGTGCATGCTGGGAAGAGATGTGGTGCATGCTGGGAAGAGACGCAGTGCATGCTGGGAAGAGACGTGGTGCATGCTGAAGAGATGCAGTGCATGCTGGGAAAAGATGCAGTGTATGCTGGGAAGAGACGCAGTGCATGCTGGGAGGAGACGCAGTGCATGCTGGGAAGAGACGTGGTGCATGCTGAAGAGATGCAGTGCATGCTGGGAAGAGATACAGTGTATGCTGGGAAGAGACGCTTCTCCGCTGTCCAAGAGCAACACGAGTCAGAGCTGCGATTCAGGACCCATAATGAAGCGCCTGTTCAGATCTCCCTTGTGTTTTAACACACACGTTCAAGAAAAACACACGATTTATGCGAGTCCAATTTACATAGAAACCACTCAACGGGTCATTCTGACACGTTAATGACGGATTACTGGAGGAAGTTGTGTGTGGAAGTGTGACCTGATATGGTTTATCAGAGGACGTCACATGAACAATGATCTATACTGGTAAACGATGAGAAGATCAGGCATGGGTAGACGGAGGATATCGAAATTGTTGGTGTTTCTTAGAAATCGCAGACGCTAGACTAAACAGAGCCGTGTTTGGGTTAGAAAACTTGCTTGTAAATCTCAAAATGTAAATTTGAAGGAAACTAGTAAAACAATAGTGCACAGAACTCGGCACAAGAAATGAAATGTTGATATGATAAAGCAAACAAAGGCCTCTTCGTGAAGTTCAGCGCACATGTTTCTGATTACTCGTGTTATTCCCTCTCCACTGTCTGAGCCAACATCCCGTTACAGTAGCTCCACATACCTTTCTTTAATAATATTTCTTTTATATTCATTATGTTCAGACTTTTCAGCCCAACTGAAGCTGTGCTTTTTGAGGGTCACATGACCTAAAAACCAGGACCTTACATCTTCAAAAACTTGCCTTGACGATGCTGTTCAGTGTGTTTAAGCATGTTGTTGTGCAGTTGCTAGAGTGTTTAAGACGGTTGTCAGGGTGTTGCTATGCAGTTGCTAAGGTGTTCAGTGTGTTTAAGCATGTTGTTGTGCAGTTGCTAGAGTGTTTAAGACGGTTGTCAGGGTGTTGCTATGCAGTTGCTATGGTGTTCAGTGTGTTTAAGCATGTTGTTGTGCAGTTGCTAGAGTGTTTAAGATGGTTGTCAGGGTGTTGCTATGCAGTTGCTATGGTGTTCAGAGTGTTTAAGCATGTTGTTGTGCAGTTGCTAGAGTGTTTAAGATGGTTGTCAGGGTGTTGCTATGCAGTTGCTATGGTGTTCAGAGTATTTAAGCATGTTGTTGTGCAGTTGCTAGAGGGTTTAAGATGGTTGTCAGGGTGTTGCTATGCAGTATGTGTTTTTTAAAGCATTGAGCAGTTGCTAGGGTGAAAAGTTTGCATTATTTAGGATTATTGTTATCTAACTGCAGACTTTACTAGGGCTGCGTAAGGCATTATGATGCATACCCTGCTCTGGGCTCTTCATCATAACACATATGGTTTGAGCTAGAGTTCCAGACACTGCTTCCCCTCTACAGTCGGGTAAATTACACACGTCTGTCCATAACATCATGCAGATCGCGACTAACATGCGTGTTTTAACCGCGTCCAGCTGTTGGGTCGACTGCAGTGTTCAGATGGTCTCCTCCACAGAGTTTTCACGATCTGTCAAAAGGCTCTTGCCAAGTGGGCCAAAGAAATGAAAATCCTGGGTTTAAAACTGTAAATCACTAATGGTGTAATTGTAAGATTTGATGTTCCTGAAATCTAGCCAAGCGTATGACAGTCAGGTCACCACACATTAGTATGTGCACATGTATGTAGCCTATGGGTGTTGCTTTAGCTGTGGGTCATGTGATTTTAAAGAGGACATTTTATGCATTTTTCCAAACTCTTGATGTGTTTCAGGCTCTACTAGAACAGGTTTTCCTGCTTGAATGTTGATTATTCTCCTCATATTCTCCATTGTTGCGGCTCCTCTCTTCCCAGTCTGTCAGAAACGCTGTTTACTTCTTGTCTCTATGAAGCCCCTCCTCCTAAAAAGCACACTGTGCTCTGATTGGTCAGCCTGAGCAGTGTGTTGTGATTGGTCGAGCGCTTCGAGTGTGTTTGGGAAATGCCCCGCCCCTTTCCATTACCACCAGTTTAACACACTACTAACTAACTCAACCAGGCCCCGCCCCTTTATTCTGCGCATTAATTATTATAATGAGGAATATTGTGCATGTTAATTGTCTCACATTTTGCATAATTTTATAAAATTACAGATTAACAGACAATAAAAATATTCTATTCACCTTGATTGGTCTCAAGCATGATCTTATCTGACACCGTTGTCTCCTCGTTAAATAAGAAAACTAGCTTTTGAAAATAAACGTCAGCTTTAATGTGACCTTTCTGTTATGAAAAATCCTAAAGTTAAATAAACATCTGTATGTGTGAGAGATGGTAACCAAATGCACACTAGTGTGTGTGTGTGTGTGTGTGTGTATGTGTGTAGTCCATGATGGTGTGGAGCGCTGCATGCTAACTGACGCCATCTTGATTTCCCAGACCGGACACTCACCGCTAGACAGATCATGTGCATGTACACAATGAACACTACATGATTACAAAGATGAAAAAGAAAAGAGGGACTTGAATAGATGACGCCACCCACACCGCGCGGATGAGGCCGCGAGCGCACGAGCCAGAGCCGGACAGCGCCAGTCTAGAGGCATTATATAATATTCAAAACTACATCAAATAGTGCTATTCATAAAGCTCAAAGTAGAGGAATAGTCAAAGCACCTTTGTGAAAAAGAAGTGCACTTAATTCTATTGACAGAGTGTGCACTATTAGTGTACTTAATTTAAAAAAAGTACTTGCAGATAACGTAATATTTAAATAAAAGGCCACTTTAGTGAACTTAAAGAGAGAAACTATCATGACTGTGTTCATGTTTCTTTAGTCAGTTTAATAAAAAGTGTAATAATGTCAAAATACATTTACATTTTGAAACAAGTTGAGTGTGTTGACTAACACACTAAAGCACTTGATTATAATTTTAACAACAGTGTGTTATTCAATATTACATTGAAACTTAATATTTTATTCTAATCTTAAATGTACTAAATTGCAATTTTATATTTTACATGTGTTATTAAAAATGTATTTAAATGTATGACATAAAGTTTCAATAGAAATTACATTAAAGTCTATTTTAGTTTACCATAAAGGCTTGTCGGTGCACTTTAATCACATCTCAAAGACAATTGAATTATGAAATATAAAAATGATTCATCTTAAGTGGGTCAAAAAAAATATTATAATTTAATTATTTAATTTAATTTAAAGAATATGTTAAAGTGTACTCGACTAAGCTAAACTTTACTAAACTGATAGCAGTTGCTCAGGAGCTCTAAAGAGATATTTTGTCATTTTAGTTGATAAAGTGAGTCATTAAAGTTCATATTTCAACCCATACTGTGTATACAAGTCTATTGTTTTTCTTCTTTTTTGAAAAATATTATCCAGTATCTTTCATAATTCTGTCATATAATATGTGAGGGGAACAGACAGACATGTTTGTTTGTTATTCAATATTCATAATATTCAGTTTTATACTGTATGGATGGATCATCTTGTGTCCGGGGCGGTGATCAAGCGGTTCAAAGCCTCCAAAGAAAACATCACACACTCCGAACAATACGCTTTCTGCAGCCAACTCACACACACACACACACACACTCGATCTGAGGAAAACAGCGTCCCGTACCTTTCAAACCCCAGCTGTCGTATGGATCTCTCCCACGACGAACCTGCGGGAACAACACAAGAGGAGGATCAAACTCTGTAATAAACAATAAATATGTAATTAAGTCAGTAATAATCCCTGCCGGAATCGACGTGACGCAGTGCTGAAGCTCGAGGTGGTCAGGAGAGATCGCTGGTGGACTGGGAAACGTCTCTAAATGACAGGTTGTCATTTATCTTTTATCTAATATTATCATTCTGAAACTTTATATCTCCCCCATATAATACTAATACTTATTCAGCATGATCTCATTAGCATTCATTTTTATTCAGCGAGGATGCATTAAATTGATCAAAAGTGACGACAATTGTATATTTTGAACACAGTTTCCACACAAATATGAACTGTTTTCAACACTTATAATAATCGGAAATGTTTCTTGATCATCATATTAGAGTGATTTCTGGAGGATCATGTGACACTGAATACTGGAGAAATGATGATAAATTCAGCTTTGATCACAGGAATAAATTACACTTTACTATTTATTCACATGGAAATAATGATTTACATTAGAATAATATTTCACTGTTTTTACAGTATGATCAAATAAAAGGTGAGCAGAAGTCTTCTGTCATATAGTGTGCATTATTCAATCATAATCCAAACTTTAAGTTACCACACTTTAAGTTAGAAATTTAATGTTCAGGGCTGTGTTTCCCAAAAGCATCATAAGCCTAAGTTGATCGTAGACACCATTGGTGGCAATTGTTCTAGATACTTTTGGGAAACCCAGGTCTACTCTCAAAAAAGTGAATAAATGGATTAAAAATACAGTTTTAATTTCAAGGTCCCGTTCTTTGTGATCCCATCATGTCTCAAACTTTAGTTAGTGTGTAATGTTGTTGTTAGAGTATAAATAATATCTGTAAAATTATAAAGCACAAAGTTTAATGCCAAGTGAGATATTTTGTTTAACAGAAGTAGCCTACATCGAGCGGCCCGTTTGGACTACATTCCTCTTCTTCCTTCTTTAATGACGTCAGTAGAACAGTTTTCTGACTAACGTCCGCCCGCCCACAGGGACGCTCCCTCAACTCCCTTAACTGTGTTTACTCAGCTCTTACGGTCATTTTCTGAAGTAAAACTGACGTGTGATGTACAATAAACTTTATTAAACTCATCAGTATATGTTTGAACATCATTCGGACCTGGTCCGAAACAGCAGACTTGTAGGCTATTAATAAAAAATGGATACATACAAGCAGATGACAAATACGTTATAATAACTGTAATTAAACTAATAAACTATACCTGTTCCATCTCTATACAGCACTCTGACTCTGTAGGCATTATTGCCCGACTGGAAATGAACGCCGTTACTGAGAGTTTCTGATATTATTAACATCATTCCATGAGGTGAACTTGTCCTGAGAGACTGAGCGCGAGCTCGTGAAGCTCCGCCCCCTGTGCCAGCAGCAGCAGCAGCTCATTTGCATTTAAAGGGCACTCACTCACACAGCGCATTTTTCTGAGCCCCCAAAAATGACAATTTAAACATGCTGTAAAAAATGATCTATTGGGTATTTTGAGCTGAAACTTCACATACACATTCTGGCGACATCAGAGACTTATTTTACATCTTGTGAAAAGGGGCATAATACGGGACCTTTAATTTAGTACCATAAAAATACAATATATTAAATAAAAAACATGATCAAACTAAAATATAGTACATTATTTTATTGATATAAAAAAAAGAAGAAAAAAAAACTCGTCCAGTTTTGAGCGACGCACAAGTGTCCGTGTTTGTCCTGCTCGGGTTCACAGTGTCGGTCCAGTCAGTGGTCATCTCCATACAGGAGAACACCAGTGAGGTGCAGTGTGGAGTTGCAAACAGTGCAAACTGAAATATTACTAAAGGGTGATGTGCCGATTCAGCTGACAAACAACAAAACATCAAACTGAAACACCAGTGTCCTACAGATCAAGTCTGTGAGTAAGAACAACGATTCAAGGCTATGTCATTCAATGCACTGTAAAAATTAATATGCTTTATCTAATCAAAAAAAAATGTGGCAAAAGATTACAAGCAATATTATTAATTAAATTTAACAAATTGTAATTGAGTAATAAATAATCAAATGAATTCCTTAAAAGTTAACCATTTAAAATGAGTAAAACTTACTCATAAATTTAAGTCACCATTATGGTGATCGGTGTTTGTTTTAAAATGCTGGTTTTCTCCTTCAGTGATTCTGCTTGTTAACATCAGGTGTCTTTAATGCTGGCAATATAAAATAAAGAGTTCTTAATTCATCTTTGACGTTTGTCTGTTAGTGAGATATTTTTGTTAAATTTTTTTTTTGGTGTAAACTTTACTCATTTTAAATGGTTAACTTTTAAGGAATAATTTGATTAACTATTACTCAATTCTAATTTGTTAAGTTTAATTAATAATATTGCTTGTAATCTGTTGCCACAATTCTATTGATTCGATAAAGCATATTCATTTTTACAGTGTGTAAGCGCTGTGTCTCGAGTGAGTCGTAGATGCATGAATTTATAATGTCAGTGTTTCAGGAGGACGCTCTGAGATCCTCTTTAATCATCTATAACTCATATATTGCCCTGCGTGTGGATCCTCATGATAACAACTGTACAGTACATCGCTTTCTTTAATCTGCTGACGACACAGACTGCTAATAGACACCAGATGTTTGAGGTTTTTTTTCTGACAGACGTTCACAAATATGTCTAGTGTAAGATTGTTCACATATAATGTTATATTTGGAAAGCCTCTATCAAGTTATAGAGTGATACTGAGATCAGAGAATGCAGTTCGAGGAGTTTCAGCTCATAAAACACTATAACCCTCGTCCTTCTCTCGCACTCCAACACATCTTTCCCTCGCGTGGCAAAATGACTTGAGTTCATTTTAATCATATTTTTTTTCTATTTTGTAATGCAATTTTTTGGCAGAATTTTTTTTAAATTACTAGATTTGATCAATAAATAATAATAAATAGTAATTTAAGCATTCCTCACGTTCTTTCAACTTAAACTCAAAATAACACAATTTCATGGATAACTCTTTTAATTCGGCTCTAAATATCATTGGGTGTGTTTACAGATCCTCTTGTGGAAAAATACTATAAGATGATATTTCATAACTCTAGATGGTGTTATATCTCGATATGGAGCAGAGGAACTTCAGTCTGCATTTCAGTTGCAAAGAAGTGTCTTCTGCTCATCAAGGCTGCATTCATTTGAATATTCATTTAAATACAGTAAAAACAGTGAAATATTATTCTAATGTAAATCATCAGTTTTCTGTGTGAATATATAGGAAAGTGTAATTTATTCCTGTGATCAAAGCTGAATTTATCATCGTCTTCAGTGTCACATGATCCTTCAGAAATCACTCTGTGTTGAAAACAGCTTCATATTTGTGTGTAAACCGTCATACATTTTTATTTTTCAGGATTCTTTGATGAATAGAAAGTTCAATCATGAAAACTCTTGGAGAGATTTTTATGAATGTCTTTAATGTTATCCATTGAATGCGTCTTTGCCGAACGGATTTGCTGTTGAACTGTATTGTTTTGTGGAGGAGGTGACTCCCTCAGCGATGAACAGATGGAGCTCGTTGACCCTGAGGAAACACAGGTTTACACAGTCTTTGTTAGAAAGAAAGTGTGTGATGAAGTGGAGTATTTTTAGGTCTCGTCCTGAGGAAGCCGATCTTTGGGACACACTGAAGCGAGCTCGTTCTCAGGCCTGATATCACACACACACACACACACAGCAAACGTGAGGACGACACCAGTGATAATGACAGAAGGTGTCCTTCTACTCCGTCACACACACAAGTATTCAAGAAACACTTCAAAATGTATAAATATATATAAAATAAATAATTAATATCTATATTTGTTTTTATTATATTTTATTATGTTATAATGTTATATATTATGGTAAATTATATATTATGTTGTATTATATTGTAATAATATATAATATTATGTTATGTTATATTATTATATTATATATTATTATATTATATTATATTATATTATATTATATTATATTATATTATATTATATTATATTATATTATATTATATTATTTTATATTAGCCAATATTATTTTATATTAGCCAATATTATTTTATATTATATTATATTTTTACACCATAAAAGGAAAAATAAAGCAAGCTTATTAATGTGATCCAGGTTTCATTATACAGAGTTAAATATAAAAAGACAATTGTGAGATAAAGCTTAAAATAAGAAATATAATTATAAGTTATGTTAAATGTAGTCACAATGGTGACATTAATTCAGTCAGTGAAATATAAAGTGACAAATATGAGAAAAAACAAATGCATATTGTTAATAATTCAATAAAAACTATTTAAACTATTTTAATGTAATATAATGTTATTTATTTACATGTTATGTTGCATTGAAATACACAACTGTTAAACATTTATACAAAATGTGTTTGGTTGTAAAATATTAGAATGATCTAAACTCATGCAGCCACTAAAATAATAAATCTTTAGAATATTTGATGACAAAAAAATATATAAATATAGTTATAGTATATAAAGTTATTTGTAGCGCAGTAGATTTTTTTATTTTTATATTTTTACTTTATACTTGGGTTTGATATCTTGATATCAATGCAGTAAAATGTATTTTTTATTCGAGTGTGATTTAATCCTCGTCTGTGTAAACTGCTGGTGTTGTCGGATGCGTTCCAGCATTCAGGAAGTTAAATATGGACGAGTTGAATCTGAAGAACGGTTGCTCTTTGCATGAACAGCTGGTGTTTCCTAGTCCTGACCACCTGCTACTGTTCTAGAGTCAGTTCTTACGCATTAAAGAGCACAGGAAATAAGGGCTAATGGAGGAAGAGCTGATCTCAGGTCAGCCGTTCCTGAACAATGCATATAGTTCATCCTGACTGCATCAACACTCACGGCCTCGGCTGACCCACAGAAAACTCACATAACATCAGTTTATATTCTTGAGAGCCAAATCAATCCGATCTGAATCAACTGACTCATTGGAAAGAATCAGCTCAAAAGAATCAATCGATCAGATAACAAGATTTGAGAATGAATTACTCTTTTGAGCTGATTCTTTTAAGTGAGTCACAAATCAAATTGATTGAACTGATTCAGGGATTCGGCTCTCAAGATATCAGCTCCTGTAAGCAAATAACAAGTTAAAGCATTTTATTCACTGCCCTTTTGTCTCAGAATGATGATTTCCAGACAAAAAAATACACAAATCTCTCGTCTAATGAGGGTGGAAAGCATGCTAATTCGAAAATACTACAGGTTTCCTACTAATACAAGCTTAATGCTAAATCCTGAATCCCTTTAACATTCATATAACCAAGATTTTTTTTTTTTTTTTGTTAATCGGATGTTTTGAACATTCAGAAATAACCTTTTAATAACTTAATGGGAACGTTAACGAAATGCTCTTAGAATATATTTTTGTTGCGTGAGAGATTTTTATTTTGTTGAAAAACATTAGAAAATCTTACTGCCCGCAAACTTTTGAATGGTCTGTTGGCAATAATAAGTCATTAATTGAGAAAAGAGTGACTGCAAACCTTTAATTGACCATTTTTGGAGGGAAAATCCAAATAAAATGAACTAATGGATCGTCTTTGCTTAGAAGTGAATGGTGTGATTGGACCTAATGTAACTGTTTTCTAACAGATTTCTGCACTTCTCTTCAGTTAGTTGGACACAAAGATTCTGCAAATAAGCTTTGTCAGTAAAATGTTGGTCAAGAGCCCCTTCTATCATCATTTTGTGCTGAAAATATTGGAGTTTGAGCTCTTCAGTCGGGAACGGTCCTTGTTGAGAATGAGTTTATCTCCATCTTGAACACAGATGTTGTGGTCTTTACGCGTGGAGAGAGTGGCTGGGCCACGGCTCAGTTACGGTCTGGGTTCTGCGTGAGCTGTTGCGTCGGGGTAACATGAGCCAGACGTGTGTTTCGACCTCACGTCACCTTTTTATTTTAAACATTTGACAGACATGAACTTTTGCATGCCATCAATGCAACATTTTATTTTACAGAGAAGGTTTCTAATTTTTTATTGCATCCAAAAATCTGATTGGCTGTTTGGAAACATGTGATTAGTGTTGGAGTGAGCAGGTGAGTGGTTAATATGGGGAAATCACTTGGAAACTGTATTCTCTCCTACTAGCCAACAAAGTGCATGCATGACTAGTTTATGATTTTAAAGGAGTAGTTCGCTTCAGAATTAAAATTTCCTGATTTCCTGACATTTGAAAACGCTGTTTAGACATGGTGGACTATCAAAACGAAAACAATGACGTAAGTTTAGTCATGTGACACATATTGTACCAATAGATATTCATGTTTAAATACAGTAAAAAAATATTTTTTCTTTTATCAAATCAACATAGATAATTTACGTGGTTCAGATAACATAATATTTTGGGTTTTTGTTGATCCTTCATTGAATCAACTCAATTTTTTGAATCAACTCAATGAACTAGTGAATTACTCCTCATTTGCATGTCTTTCTGTATGGTGAATTACTGCATGATACGTGGATGCTTAGTTTTTAAGGCAACCAGGTTACGTCTTTTTTTTAAGTTTGGCCTGTTATGTGGTATTCACATTCACACAGTTGCTAAAATATGTTAGTTCACACACTCTTCATATCACAGTCCTGCAAAGATGACAGAAAGCTCACACACATTCGCTGTCCTGCGGCAAAACATGAGAGCGACCTGGATATAAAAAGATTCTCCTAGAAGAATTGTGCGATAACTTTATTATTTATTTCTCCGTCTGCATCATCTCAGTAAAGGGGAATTTAGCGTTTTCCAAAAGTTTCTCATCCACACAGAAAAGGGCAGTGTGGACGGAGAGCGTTTTAAAATGAAAACGGCGTTTCCGGAGTAATGTTTCCGTCAGTACTCACAGTTGAAGTCGGGCTCGATGTTGTCTCCTGCCATCAGGCTGTTGATCGTGATTTGGAAGATGAGATGCAGAAGCAGGAACGTCACACTGGTGAAACACAGCGATCTCAGCAAACGCCCTGTGTGTCCTGAGGAAGAAGAGGGTTTGATTTTAATACCGAGTTAAAACATTGACATTAGGACATGCAACTTAAATAAAGCCTGAGACTAATTGCAAGTGCTTATGTTCTTACGACACAGTCCTCTCATTTTATTCTTTAAGAAAAAGAGATTGGTCAACTTGGTCAACCCTTGATAGAGAAACAAGCTCTTAAAACTCTGAAAATCCAGCTTTAATGTTGTTTATGTGTGTATGTGGTGTTTTTAATACTCTTTAACACACACACACCATGTGTAAGTTGATAAGTGGACAGCATTCTGCAGTGAACCAAAGACAGTCTCAAAAACACGCTTTGAAATCGCTGGTGTTTCTGACGTCACAAACCACCTTGTAACCAATCAGATCAACGTGTGATCGCCAACCAGTGGATCTCTGAGTGAGTGAGTGGGGGCGGGGCTCATTTGCATATTTATAGAACCACGCATATTAAATGAGGCAAGGGTGTCGAGTTACATTCAAGATATTTTAAGGCATAAAGGCATAACATTTCAAGGACAAAATGCTTAAATATGTAATTTTGGTGATCAAAGATGAGCTTTAAGGGATAAAATGATTGATGATCTCTCTCGCTCTCTCTCTCTTTCACTCCCTCAATCTCTCTCTCTCTCTCCATTCATTTAGCACTGATATTTTTGGCAGTGTTTGGACTGTACATCACTGTGAGTTCAGAGACGTGGCCGTTTTCAGAAAGATCCAAATGAAACAATGCTGTGAGTAATGCATGCATACGGTCGAAAAGATAGTTGATTTATGGATAATGCCACATAAACATGTTTTATGATAGAAGAGAAGGATTTGGTCCGACATCAAAGCTTCTTTATACAGTGGGACGGACGCTGGGAATGACACCGATAGCATCGAACATGAGCTTAAGGATGTTAAAAAACACCCACAACCATCCGGCCCAAATGAGGATATGACGTCATATCCAAACCAATAAGTGCTTAATCTAATCGGCAAATCTGGACAGATGATATCATGAATTAAAGGATAAAAAACAGTGGGATAAAATTTCACCCTACTTTAAAGGTTGCATGGATTTAGTTCACGTCTGAAAGCTTTTTAATAAAGATTTCAGTCTCTTTTGATGAAACGCAGAGCTTATTAATTCACAAGTCATATTGAAACGATCAGAGGAACGGAGAGCGGGTCGGTGTCAGTCCTCGACTCCTGAAGCCTCGTCAGGGAATTAAACACACTTTCACAAAGAATTAGAAAAATAAATACAGACAGCAGAATACTGTATATAAGGACCTGGTACTGTCAATGGAGATAAACGACACAACTATAGGGGTTTCAAGCTGATGTTTCTGTATACGGAAGAAAAATAGAGGAACAAGACTTCTTTTAAAAAACACTGAACACTTTACAATACGGTTCATTAGTTCACATGTACAATACAAATACAGCTGTTCATTTTAATAATGTAGTGAATGTTGAAATTAACATTTACTTAGATTATTAAATGCTGCACTTGTTGTTTTAACCCATTTTTGGGTCAAATATGGACAAACCCAGCTGTTGGATTACATTTTTAAATTGCATTTTTAATCCAACGTTTGAGTTTGTCCACATTTGACCCAAAAATGAGTTAAAACAACCCAGCATTTTTTGATGTCTCTAAATGGTGCACCTTATCAAATATCACATAAAAAGTACAGTCAATATTATATATAGTTGTAGAATCATTTTCTAGAAGAATTATATTTTGCGTTATATATATCTTTAAATATTTTTCTGGGTGTTTGTTTGGAAATATTTAAATCATGATTACAAATTATGAATGGAAGCATGATATAAAACAAACACTCTACAAAACGCTGGGTTGTTTTAACCCAATTTTGGGTCAAATATGGACAAACTCCAACATTGGGTTAAAAATGTAATTTAAAAATGTAACCCAACGGCTGGGTTTGTCCATATTTGACCCAAAATTGGGTTGTATTGTTCGTTCATTCATATTAACTAATGTAGTTAACTAATGTTAACTTATATTGTGAAGTGTTACCAAAACATTAAATCTTACTGACTACACTCTAAACAATGCTGGGTTGTTTTAACCCAGATTTGGGTCAAATATGGACAAACCCAAATGTTGGGTTAAAACTGTCATTTAAAATTGTAACCCAACTTCAACTTTCACTTTCAAAAGTACATTTTTTAATAACTTTTTTTAACCCAAATGTTGTGTTAAAAAAGTTAATAAAAAATGAACTGTTGAAAGTGAAATGTACTGTTGGGTTTGTCCACATTTGACCCAAATTTGAGTGTAGTTTTTAAATGGCACTAAAATACAGTATTTTCCTTTCAGGGAAATTATCCAGAAACGACATCATCTCATAGTTTTATTGGCAAACTATTAAGTTACCGGCTATTTTAATAAAACATTTGAAGGAAATCAATTGTGCTCACCCAACATTTTAATGGAGATTTAAAATGAATAAATTAATTTCTGTACCAATCAGGTTTCAGCTCGCCCGCTTTAACGGCTTTAACTGTTTGTGAAGGAAGAAGATAACACACATTTTTGTCCATCAGTGTGTATTAACACCTGATAATCATTCCTAAACACCTGAGGATCGTCGCCAGGCAAATCTGCCCAGATTTGACGATGTTTCCGATGGTTTGCTGTTCAGGCGATTAGTGAGATTAAAGACGCTCCGAGATCGAGAACATCATTGGTCCGTTCAGTGGATGTGGTGTGTGCGGATCGGCACTGGAGGAGTGTGTAAAGCAGAAAGCCGATCCTGGCAGAGGAAGAGCAAATATGATCCAGATGTGTTTGTTATTCAGAGGACTCGAGGTCTCTGCTGACACAGTTTCTCATTATTCTTCCTCTGATGAGCGTCCGTCCGTCCGTCTGCAGACCGAGTCTAAAGCTGGAGATGTGCGCGGAGAGAACGAGTCCATGTCCGTGTGTGTGAGAGCTGTTATTTGCAGTGTATACACTCTAAAAAATGCTGGGTTGTTTTAACCCAACTTTGGGTCAAATATGGACTAACCCAGCCGTTGGGTTAATTTTTTACATTACATTTTTAACCCAACATTTCGGGTTTGTCCATATTTGACCCAAAATTGGGTTAAAACAACCCAGCATTTTTTAGAGTGTACAGTACCGATTTAGGGCCGGGAGTGCTATAGTTTATATGGTGTTTTTGGAAGAAGACTCTTCTGCTCACCATTTAAGGCTGAGGTCATTTAATCAAAAAACTCTAAATTTTTAAAAATATTTTCCTGTGTAAATCATCAGTTTTCTATGTGAATATACAGTAAAGTGTAATTTATTCCTGTGATTTTCAGCATCATTACTCCAGTCTTCAGTGTCACATGATCCTTCACAAATCACTCTAATATGAGGATCTGATGATCAAGAAACACTAATGATTATTATCAGAGTTGGAAATTTGATGAATAGAAAGTTCAAAAGAACAGCATAATTAGTAACTTTGTCTTTAATGTCACTTTTGATTAATTGAATGCATCCTTCAAAAACAACATCAAACGATATACACATCGCTGTAATAAAACCTGCTTTATTTCACATCCGGAGCCTTTCAAGACCCAAACGTTAGAAAGATGTTTATTGTTCTCGGATACTTTGGTTAGTGTTTATCTCAGCGTCTGGTTTCTAAGTTTACAACATGTCAGGAAAGTGAATCATCATAACCTCTGATTCATGTTTAAAACTCGAGGAAATCGACTCGACCTTTTCTCACTGGCATTCACAGTCAGATCGCAACCCGTACTACAGTAGATCAAGCCAGACTGAACGCTCGGATACACACACACAACACACATAAAACGGGGAGGTGTGTGTGAGGTGGATCCACACACAGTCATTTCCTAAAGTGTGAGTGTCATTAATTTGACTAAATCCACCAACATTTCCTTCTTTAAACACACTGGATATATCGTCAGTCCTTCAGGGTTATTTATAATCCGGTCTGGTGCCACGAACTTATCAAACTCTTTTTTACAACAATGTATTACAACAAGGTGGAAAGTTTGCAAAAATGTGCGACTAACATGAAAACACAGCAGAAGCGCAGGTAACCTCGGTTCAGTGTGATATATTATCCACTGCAGATGTTCTTCCTTAGTCTCCAATCACTCATTCATGAACACTACTTTATTTTCCGGCCTTTCATTTTGTATACAGATGTTTTAGTCGATCGAGCAGTCGTAATAACTGTGATTTGTGAAATAAAAGCAGAGAATCTCAAACTCAAACTTCACCGAGCCAAAATCAAAGTCCTGACATTATTCACTTGTGCTGATCCGAACCCAGATGACTTTCTTTATTTGGTGGAACACAAAATATGACGTTTTGAAGTTCAAGCCGCTCTTATCCATACACAATACCATACGATGATCCAAGATCCAAAAAAAAACATCCTAAAGCACCAAAAGTATCATCTATACGGTCTTCCGAAGCTCAAACAGACTGAAATCCAAGACATATTTTCATGCATGAATTAATGCAAAACCCCATTTGAGAACTGATGTCACTGACCATAAACCACTGGTTCTGGCAATTGCAAAAAGCAAATAATCATAAATGTTTGTTGATCATCAGATCCTCATATTAGAGTGATTTCTGAAGGATCATGTGACTCTGAAGACTGGAGTAATGATGATAAAAATCACAGGAATAAATTACACTTTACTATATATTCACATAGAAAACAGATGATTTACATTAGAATAATATTTCACATTATTCTGAACAAATGTGGGCAAAATAGTTTTGATTTATTTTAAAAAAATACTTCCTTTCATCTGAGCGGTGCAAGACTTGGCTACTTTTCCAAAGTTTGCCTTCTGAACACACAATTTTTTTAATCAATTCTACAATGTTAAGTGGAAAAAAAACTCCTAAATCTTGTGTTTGGGTCAAAAATGGGCACCCATAGAAATGAATGAGGAAAAACTGTAATTTAGAGTCTAAAATAAGCCAAAATAAGACAC